ATATTTACGGGTTTCTGGAACATTTATCCCGCAAACAATATTGGCGACTCAGTGTGAGTCCAGGTAAAAATGAGTGACACAAAACAATAAATACAAAACAAACCACATTGCATGTACTGACAAAAGGAATGACAAGTGCAGACAATTGTAACGAAAGGGACAAAAACATTGTAAAAAAGATGTACTTGTTTTTGTGTGTGTGGATGTGTGGATGTAACAAGCGTGTGTGATAGACACGTGTATGTATATGTGTGTGTCAAAAGTCAAAGGAGTACTAAAGAAGCAACGCGTCTTGTCGGCAGTGTTCCGATGTACATACGACCACATCTGAAAGCCAGATCTAAAAAGGGTTAAAAAATGGTGAGTGAGAATATCATTGCCTATTTATAGACTTAAAGAGCGCCCACCCCAGCAGCGTTTTGCCAAAATCTAAGTGGGATAATCCACAGATCTCCCGCTGTGAATTTGTAAATATTTTCTACACTATAGGTTAACAAGAGGTAGATTCGATGGTAAGAGACAATGCTCTTTCAAACTTACTTTTTTTTTTACATTAACTCCACTAACGCAAGACTTGAACATTCACTTCCGTGACTTTGTTGACTCGGTTAAAATACAAAAAAACATAAAGAAAATAAAAATGTACGAAGCGGCCGATTTCAATCGACAACTGAAATCCCTGTAAAAAATAATAAAGATCACCAAAATAGTCTGAAAATATACAGAATAATCGTCTGTTCTCAGCTTCGGCATTGTTGAATAAAACAGAAAATAATCTTTACGTCATTATAATATTAATTAAATCATATGACCACAGGAATAGATCACGGTAGTGGAAATTTGGTAAAATGTCAAAAAAATCTTTCTCAATATATAAAGGTTTTATTTGGGGGTACAGCTGCACACTTGGTCAGATACTATTCCACAAATGTCACTCATCGTATTTTAACACAAGGCGGCTATATTTATGTCCATCTCTACTAAAGAACTCCAACATGAATCGTCATAAAGGATCGTTCGAGTGCTTATGGAGATGGTGTGTATAGTGTAACAGTAAAAGCGTTAAGTGGAATCAGTGACCCAAAAAATGTATCCGAAGTTCAGCTACAAAATTGGTTCTTAAAAAATAAATAAACCAACAGTAATGAACGGCTTAGAACTCGTTTATAATCTTGTACATCACAGGAATGAACTTTGTCAAAATATATTTACCGCGATTCTCGAATTAAGTTTGCTCTTACTCATTGAAAGAATCTTAATAAGTTTTAAAAGAATGGTCATTGGTCAGTCGAAACATAAATTTAACATTTTGGCTACAGTTTATCATGTAGAGAGAAAAGATAGATGCGCTTCTGATGGAAAGGAAAACCACTATCCCTATAGTAAAGTATAAGGTATAAATGTTATGTTTGGGTAATGTTTCTCTTTCAATGGTAAAGAAGAAATCCATGCGATTGAAGGAACTTTTTATCGAAGGATTTTGGAAGTTGATTTGTTCATTCCGGAGCTATAGTTGCATCTTGGAGAGAATTGGGCCTTTCAACAATAAAAACTCGAAGCATACAGCTGAAGTAACTCACGAATGTTTTTCATTCATTTAGTTATTATTTCAAGACAGTGTAGAAATATGTGGCATTGTCAATCTTCTGACTGAAATCCAACTGCCAATTTATTGCGAAGATTGAATTCATAAGAGCGAACCAAGAAATATTAATGACCTGAAGATCGTTTGCAAGTAAGTGTAGATGAAGATTTCAAAAAGATTTTACAATGAGCCTGTGAAAGGTTACAACAAATGTCTCTGAACAGTCATTGTAAACCTGGGTGATGCAATTAAGTATTAAAATCAATGTCTTAGAATACTTTTTTATATATGCAATGTATGTTTGAAGACATATCTTTTTCTTCGTTAATTTTATATCCACATACATTTCCGGTGTAAATTGAAAATGTAAGTATCGCAAACATAGTTTGCAAGTGTCCAAATACTTACCTACCTACATTGTATATTAAAGAATATATATTGTCAACAATTTCATAAACACCAGGCTTGCATGAATCCTTAATCATTTCCAACCAGTATTCGGTGTTCGCATCCAGGTAAAGTATTTTCGAATGTCGGGTTTCAATAAAGAAAGACAGACTCTCGCTACTTAGACGATTGACGCAATCTAATGCTAATCTACCACCATTTTCCACTCTCCGGTTTTCTATTTACTAAGCTAAGCTAAATAAATGTCAATAAATATTTGTCTAATTAATAAATGTTCACTTTTTCTTTCTTTCTTTTTTTTAAAGAGATATAAAAAAAAAAATAAGTAGCCAATTGCATGCCTGTGTCGTAAAAAATGTGTAGGGTCATCAAAAACTGCCTCCACGAGCAAGAGTCGTATCCAAGTAACTCTTTATTCATAGAAAGTAAAATAAACGAACACGATATAATACGCGTCTCTTACGTTCCCAGGTTAACAGTGGAGGAGAGAATTCATTTAGTTGAGGCATGGAAATTTCTATAGGGAAATTGAGGCACTTTACATTCATTTTACGACAGGTTTTTGTTTCAGTGGTTTTCTGCATAGAACAATTATATTTTTGCAGAGCCATAAGGACACTGTAAACACGTGTTTGGAAGAACTGGCACCGCAATAAAAAACTGTAAACACGTGTTTTGTTGCGCATACACAATGCGTGCTGAGATACACTAACTAAATTCAAAATAAAAAGAAATATAGGGAAATATATTTATTTAAATAAAGAAAAAAATATCAGTTATAATTTATTTCTAGTCTATCGACGGGAGCGATGTACGAAGGTAAGTCATATCAGAAGGAGAGGGAAGGAAATATAAAGAGGGTTAAGGAGACAAAAAGTTCGTGCGAAAACCCGATTAAAAACGAAAGAGTCGGAGGGTGTCATTATTCTTCAAATTACACCCCTCACCCACACCCACACACACACACACACACACACACACACACACACACACACGCACACACACACACACACACACACAGTTTTCGTCTTTCCTTGAAGTATAGAACTGATAATCACATTGGCGGACGAGTGAGGAGAGTTATAGAAAGTTGCGTGCATGTATGTGTGTATATATGGAGAAAACAATATTGCGTAAAAAACTTTTTATTCATTTAGTACTTTTACATATACGCTTCGGCTTAAACAGACACGAAAAATACAGGAGAAAGCATGGAACAGTGTGGTTTATACTCTATCTGATTTTGCCTCTATTTGTGCGTATATAAATGCATAAACAAGCTTTCTATCTATGTGTGCTTGTGTGAGAGTGTGTGACAAAAGAAGAATATAACAAGTTAGTTAACCCTCCTCTCTTTTTATTAACGTATCGATGTGTTTATGCCTGCGTTGCATATTTGTGTAAGTATTCATGAATATGACTGAGTAATTTACTTAACATTCACTATGATAGCTTGTATATTGCTTAACACGAGTTTTTTTATGTAGTTGTTATTCTACGCATTTTTAAACGTATATTTGCCATTATTACGCGTATATATGCATATGCATAGCATACGTGTTGTGTGTGCGCACCTGCATGTTTTTTGTTAAAAAAAATCTTTTTATGATTAACAAACTAAAACCAAAAAAACTAAAAAGCACCAATAAATGACAACATAAAAATACGTAAACAGTAGCTTTAAACTAAAACAAGTCGACGATGAAGGAAGAAGTATTACTAGTTGTTGTGGTAGTAGTAGTGATGATGTTTTGTAGTAATGATAGTAGTACAAAAAAAAAAAAAAAAGAAAAGAAAAGAAAAAAAAAACCAAAAGATAAAAATTGCTCCACCTCCTATTTATATAATTCGTCCGCCTTCTCACTGCATTCTTCTTCCCGTCCGTCAGTTTGTCGGTCGGTCTTTTCCTGCTTCGTTCATCTCCAACTGTGTTCATCTTTCTATCTTTGCAAGAAACCGGCAAAACCAACTCTCATCTTTTCTTACAAATAATAAACAACTTCAGCGCAAGTTGTAACGATAATTTGATGATAAAAAGAAATAACCCTACAACAGCTGCTATTTACCTAACATTCGGAAAAAAATACATCGAATTTCTTATATTGTTTTAAAAAAAATCCAACTTTAATTTCCTTTTTTTCCTCATGGCTTTTTTCCTGCCAAACTAACTTTATTTATCGTTAGCTAGCTACAAAAACAGAAACAAAAACAAAAAACAAACGTAAAAGAAAACAAAACAACGAAAACTCTGTAATCTAAGTTAAACCGAACAAACGACCCTTGCCCCGTACTTAAAGGGATTGCTTTCTGTGTAAACCTGTGTACTATAAAGTGTGTGCACCAACAGGTGGTGGCGTGGATCCAGTTGACAATTCGGACGTAGGCGTTCGAATCTTGTGAACATCAGAAGTTAAACTCACAGGATCACTGATATCTGTGAGCAAAGACTATAAAAAAAAATTAAAAAAAGGACAGACATTTTTTAACTTGAAGCAATCATGGACAGGTAAGTAAATGAACTTGTTTTTGTTATGGTTGTTGTTGTTGTTTTGTTGTTTGCACTGAGATCACAGGAAATCGAACCAATATAAAAAGAGTAGTTAAACAAAACAAGTTGAAAAGTTCTGCAAAATATGAACTTATTAGAAACAGGTCTGGATACAAAGCATGGCATTGTAACGTAACGATGCTGCTTACCTGCATGTTATATACAGTGACATGCATCCTTTTACTTTTTACTATATTGAAATCTTCTGTCTTGTAATTATCAATCTTTACCAACCATCCGCTATACAATAATCTATCTATTTTCTATCTCTCTCTAGTCTGACAGTGGCATCATGTGTGCGGTGTTCATGTTATTTGATTGGATTTTTTTTACTCTACCTTTCCTCTCTTCTGTCAATCTTTCATAATTGTATTTGTAAAAATCTGTATCCACACACATTTTTATCTCCCTTTTGCTGAAGTTTTGGTACAGAATATTTGCAGTATTCATTTGTCTTACGGACATCTTTAATAGATAGATAGATAGATAATATATATAATGAGAGAGTGCGTGAGATAGATATAAACTGATAAATAGAGGGTGTGTGTATGAGATGGCTAGTTAGCCAGCGATATAGATAGATAGATAGATAGATAGATAGATAGATAGATAGATAGATAGATAGATAGATAGAATTAAACTGAAAAAGAAAGTGTGTGTGTGTATGAAATAGATAGATTTAAACTGATAGAGATAGGGTGGGTGTGTATGAAATATCTGTCTAAGATAGAAATTGACAGTGTGTGTGTGTATGTGTGTGTGTGTGAAATAGATATCTAATCTGTCTGCCAGTTCACTCACATACGCATATTCACTGATCAAAGCGAGAAATGCAACCATGTGCGTATTCGCTTATACCAGATGCGTGTATTGTGTAGGAATATGTAAGTAAACATCAGTACTTTCGGAAGAGCAACTTGAGTTGAAAAGAAAGAAAAAAGAATATGAAACAAATTCGCTCGTACGAAACGTATATCCTCACTCATTCACTAGCTTCCAGCGAGCACTCATACACCCACAACCCCGTGTGTATATTCACCAATTCACCAGCACCCAGACCTATGTATCCCAAACACCTACGAAAACATACTTATACTCCCACAATTGCAGACATAAATATAAACACTCCCGTACGACGTACACTGTATAAAAACAAACCCTCCCATAGTATATTTTGAGAACACACACACACACGCACACGCGCGCATACGGAATCCTTCCGGCCCACACGAATCTCATAAAGTTAGGTGTGTGTGGTGTTATTTGTATGAACACTGATTCAATACTTATGAACAGGTGCAATGTTTGCGATCGGCAAATTTCTTCATCAGAAGTCAAACCTGCAATTAAAAAGGGAGAATATTTTGCAAAAATAATGATTCGTGAGCATTCTATAACAAGCTGATGCAGTGTGTGTGTGTGTGTGTGTGTGTGTGTGTGTGTGTGTGTGTGTGGTTTGGTTGATAGATAGATAGATAGATAGATAGATAGATAGATAGATAGATAGATAGATAGATAGATAGATAGATTCCATTGTTTCTGAGCATTATTTTTAATAGCCCTTATTTTGCCACTGGCTCAAATTATACTTGAAATCTTTTTCAAAGTTTATCAAACTATTGTGTTAAGACGTGAAGCGCACACCTAGAACTTTGCCAGCGACGATTATCAGATAAGATCCTTTTTGATTGTCGTTGTCACTGACAGTATCGAATTGTTTTATTTGGTTTTCTGCATTGTCTTATCTATTTCACAAGCAACGGAGTTATTTATTCATTGGTAGGTAAGTGGAGACGGGGTCATGGAAAATAGTTTTTCTTAAGGACTTTATTGAGTTTCCACAATCTCTTCAGTGAGTTAAGATCGGATATCATCAACACGCAAATATTCTTCATGCATACAATTGCTACACACGGTTGTTTCTTCTATAAATGATATGGTTGGTAAGAGTTTTGGTTTTATATCGAGACACTTGGTAAAAAATACCCTACTTCTCTGATTAATCTTTTGTATTGTTTCATTTACTCTTCGATATCAAATTTTAATAATTTGTTTAAGCAAGTATCGTATGGCACAGTGTATTATTGTACTTCTAAAATTTACGTTGGTTTTATTTCAGGAAGATTTTTTAAAATATCATGCACACAAAGCGATTACACCATTTTCTTGTAAAAGTCCAAACATTCAAGTGAAATAAATTCTTAAACATATAGTAATAATGACGTAAATGGAAATGTAATCAAAATATGTGTCGGAATGACATTTTGAGAATGGATGAGTACGTCTGGATCAGGAAATGATTAACCTTGTAGAAATAAATAAGTAATTAAATAAATCAATAAATAAATAAAGAAAGAAAGTCAATGTTAAACAATAAAATGATAAAACTAAAAAATGTAATTACATTGTGGCTACTAGCCATCAAATGGATGTGCATTTCTTTTACACTTTCACATATATATTTGTGAGTCAAGGTTCAACTAGCAAAGATGTTACTTCTTTTAAAAGAAAACATGTTTTCAACGTTCAAGGCTGCGAGACTGGCTTCTCATGTCATCCTGACTTGGGCTAGTGTGACACAAAAACGTGATGCCAAGAGAGTTTAAAATAGAGGTGTCATTATTAAGACTCTTCTGATTTAAGTTCAAACTTTAAAAAGATTATTTCAACATAACTGTTGTTGACACATCTACGTGTTTGTGGTCAGTTGAATAACTTTAAAAATCAGGACATCGACTCGAACATAAATTGCTGACACGAGGCAAGGAGATTGCGCATTGGTGCGCATGGGTAACCATCATTATGACATTATGTAATCATACTCGTCACGGATAGCGAGTTCATTTTAACAGTTGTTTGTGTAGCCTCGAACCAATCCAGTCTTAGCCTACTGAATATCTATCAGAAATAGTTGCAAAGCTTAGACCCTCTCGTCATGGAGCATTAGTTAGCGAGCTGTCCTGGTTGATTATTATTAATGAGTTCCGTCTTCAGTGGGTGGTCTACATTCGTGGTCTTGTGCCAAGCTAAGCTTAGTAAGTGTCCCTTAATTAAAGCTTTTTCTTTAAGCTATTGCCTCAAATCTAATATTTTAAAATAGGAAACGCTTTTATATTAGTTGCCTAAATGTAAATTATGTTCCAGCTGACGTGTGTGTGGCTCATTGTTTACAGCAATCGACTGGCGGAGAAAAGTTTCGTTTCAAATAGTTGGGAAAAGTTGACATGAAAAGTAAAAATTCTTAGAAAAACGGAAAATTTAAGACAAAAAGATTTTTCCTTTTGTAGAAATGTCTATGATAGAGTAGTTGTAGATTTTACAAGTACGAGACGAATAATTAAACAAATGGATCGTTTTGTTCATCCGCTAATATTTTGTGGTGATGAATTTATTTACAATGAAATGATACTTTGAATTCTCGAATTGTACCCCATCGATGGAACTAAAATTAAAAGGGCCATCTATTTAGTTATCTAATTATTAGGTCGCATCTAATTGAATAATAGTTGTCGTAGAACAGATGACGTGCAAGCACTTAGTGCTATATTCAGTGATGGACCTTTTTTTATAATTTGTTCACATGTTAAAGAAAATATTCCCATTGGACAAAAGCAATGAACTATTTCAGTAAGTGATCTGTCTAGTATTACGAATTCTCATTAACGGTTTCTATATATGGATCTATGAATTTTCGAATATTGGACAATGATAAAAAATACGGCAAAACATCTGATCTCTAACATTTTTGCTTCTCTTATTGAAAGCAAGTTTGATATCAAACAAAAGCAAAGCTCCCGACCATTGAAAGCTGTATCAGGGGCTTTTAAAATCCATGGAGTACCAGTTTATATCCATTTGTGATATGACGGAGGAGTTGTATATGTAAAATATAGACTAGTTGCAAGATGAAGTCAAATAAGCTGCAGTCACTTATGATATATTCCGAAGAAATGAACATACACAACGATAGTTAACTGAATTTTTGATTGATTGATTTGATTTTTACGGCCTATCAACCTTTAGCAGATTATTTAAAGCCAGGAAATATTTTAGATAGTAAGAATTTTTGGAGATAAGGATTACTGATACAAGTCCCACTAATTAACCCATAGATTGGGGAAAGAGGGTTTTTTTTTTATAATTTTCCCAAGGGCATTTGCGTGTAAGTGAATATAACGGACCCACTGGAATTGGAATTCGACTCTTAACCGTTATCCATTATATCAACCTCATATCCAAGCTTACAACACCTGGTATTCCTAAATGGTCACTCATTTAGGTAGTGGCTAGGCTAGATGTTGCTTAACTTAAGTCATCATACGAGAACCGGTGTTTCAATGTGATATGACCGTAAGCCGGCAGCAGTTCATTGATACATACATAGGTATACTTCCTGAAAGCATACACATATTAACACGTAGACACACCCTTACTCCTTTTTTATAGTTTAAACTTTATTCTTTTCCATTCATTCATCGTTTTAATCACTTACTGTTTATTCTTGTTTAGAGAATATCAACAGAAAATTCGACTTTAAAGGTTAGCACTAGGTTTTTTTGTGTCTGTGTGTTTGCATCTATAAAGGTGCGTATTTAAAGCCTATAAGCAATTTTAACAAATCTTCACATTTTCTACCACTTAAATACAAATACAGCACATCAACAACTATAGGTCATGCTTAATAGCCAAAGTTATGCAATACTATGCATGAACACTTATGTACATTTGAAATAATAGTTTCAGTTGTAACACCTTCTTCTTAGTAATTCATTATCGCTCACTTTTTCGTTATAATTCGTTTTATACGTGCGTACTTATTTTGATTCACATATGCATTACAAACGACTAATCACGATACAAATAAAGTGTAGTATCTCATGAAGATCTATCAAGTAAAATAAATACCAAATTATTGGATATGTTAAAATAAATTGGCGTTATCTCGAATCAAACAACTTAACTTTATTCTATGGAATCGTTTAAATTGGGATGCTCTATGAATTTAATGTGTCGTTGTAAATCTCTGCTGATTCGGCGTCTGTTTTGTGTACATGCATCTTTGGTGGTTCTTACGTTCATATTTTTCTGTAAAAATATGCAAATCAGATTGCTGTGCAAATGATATCAAGATTTAAAAAGCGATTGATTGCTAATCAGCTGTTATTTGGCTACTTCAATAACCTTCACGAGACTAAGCTTTTTTTTTTTTTTGTCACCGACTAAAGAAATTTTCATTGAAAACAGAAAACGTCACACCAAAATTATGCGCTTTCTTCAACTAGCAGGATATTCATAACGGAGCAATTTTTTCAATAATATAGGACGTTGGCGATCATGGCTCTCCACATTTCTTTTTTCTTTACTATGTATAAATTGTTATACATTCTACTGAAAGATAGGTTTTTCATGATGCTTTCTCCAAGGTTTGAAATTCAAAATTTTCCTTAAACTGGTTGTCACACAAGGCTAGAGAAGCCAGTCTATCCTGCAATTTAAGCCCTAAGTGGGGAAAGGAGATGGGTCCATGCCTTTCTCAAGAGTATCTTTGCGAAAATGAGCGCAACAGTCTAGATCGAAATTTGGACTCAGCTGGCAAATTTCACTTTCCGAGTCGATATCCGTCACACTGCTGAATGGAATTTTTTACAGTCTGTTTTCTTCACTTTACACTAAAACAAATGATGAATACTGATAGGAGAGAATATTTTAAAAGTGTGTATAAAATCTTCTATCCGTGTATGTTTTTCTAGAAATATCTAAGCTTATTTTTGTCTATCAGAATGTAAGCCTGTTCCTATGTGTAATTCTTTGAAAGTGAGAGAGAAATAGAGAGAGAGAAAAGGAAGGGGAAAGAAATAGAGAAAAGACGAAAGAAAGAAAGGGAGAAAGATAAAAATAGAAATAGAGAAAGGGGGCGCAAGTAGAAAGAAATAAAGAAATAGAGAAAGGGAGGGAGAAGAATATATATATATATATATATATATATAGAGAGAGAGAGAGAGAGAGAGAGACCTGTACATTATGTGTGACGATGTAAGCATGATCGAGGAAATGAAAACGTTTGAAAATTTGACAAATGGCTGAAATAAATAGTTTTTCTTGGGTAGAAAAATCTGAAAATAAATAAAAAGAAAACAAACAATAAGAAGCGAAAAAAATTAGACGAAAATTCTGCTGTAATTGTAATACTGCGCGACAGAATTAAAATAAAAGAAAGGAGGATGAATTAAAAAAAAAAAAAGATAAGCAAAGACCATTGTCGAAAAAAATAGAACCACGAATAAAAAACAAAGAAATTAAAAAATGAGATAAAGACAGAAAGAAGCAATTTTTTTAAAAAAAAGAAAGAAATTCATTAAAAGAATTGCGACGAAATTAAGTAAAGGAAGAAGTAGACATTAACAGAAAGGGAGAGAAAAAGAAATAAAGAAAAAAAAGATTATTGTAATAAAACGAAAACGAAGGCAATAAAAGAAAATTTAAGAGAAGGACAAGGAATGATTTACACACGAGGAGTAAGAAGAGGAACTGAAG